CTCCAGCCTAAGAGCGATGGCCTCCAACCTACTAGCGATGGCCTCCAGCCTAAGAGCGATGGCCTTCTGGGTGGATTGTTTTGGACTGAATGTTTTGCGTTATGACACCCTCGGTTCTCGCACAGTCCGTGTCCTGAGCCCTGACGCTCAAGGATTCTTCTTCCGGAACCCAGGGGGACTTGGTAGAAGAGACATCAAAAAACGAAGAGGTTGGAAGATCTCCTCAACAAACTCACAGGTCAAGTGGGTAAACATTCGTGTTGCTTCCCCTTTTGACAGGAATGAACATCCATCTATAGGAATCTTCTTTGAATCTTCTACATTTCCCGGGACCCTTTCAAAGGTAGGATTCTTGTCCCACACACCAAGTTTAGACCGTGATGTGGGTTCTGGCACAACCCGGTATGACCATGAACTTAGACATTGAGGCTCGCAGGCTCGCCGTTTCACTGTTTCATTGAGGTTCTGTCGGCCCTGGTGCATTTGCCTCCCCTGCGGTTCAGTCCTCGTCTATCTCATGAACCTGGGCTCAAAAATCGTCATCAACAGATTTTTGGACTTTGGTTTTCCAAGGAATAGGAGCTTTGCGAGCCGCAACTGACTTGTGCTTAGCAAGGAATAGGGGAATCGACAAGGTATCGATGGTACCCCTATTCGCTCTACTAAGCACCAGTAAGACAAAAGAGATGGGTAAGACCTCCTAGGCGTTGCGACCCCAAGGAAGAAGAAAAATAGAACAGTCTACCCAGCCAGGTAGATCTCCCTATTGGAATTCCCACCCAGATGGACCTCGAAAAAAGAACTTTATGACTCGCCCTTTTTCGATAGGCTCCGGAAAGGGGTATAGGCCTAAATTGTACATCGTTCAGAGAATCGTGTTCGTATTGTACAGTTATTTGGAAGTTCACCACCTGTTTGGTATTGGGAAAATGGAAGATAACTTATATGTAATACAAGAATCATTCGATATACATTAAAACTTATGCCAAAGTCTTGGCTCAAACATGCAGAAACTGCCCACAGTCCTCAGGCCAAGCACCACAACCACCTTCAGGGGCTATTTGGGGAGATCGACATGTTTCCTTCAACGCCCTGTTCACGCCCTGTTCACGCTTCCTTTCGGACGGAGAGTTTTGCACCCATAAAGCTCAGAACCCAGCATCCGCTCCGTTTTCCCACCTCCGAAGGTCATTGGACCCCCTGAGATCCCTGGCACTTGGACCCCAAGCATCTTCAAAACGAACGAAGTAGACCTTCTCCAACCTACTATAGCTAATGGCCTCCAACTAACTAGCGATGGCCTCCAAGCTACCGTCACGGGAAGTAAAGCAATGTGCGAGTTGCAAAAACCTCAGTGTTCACAGACACTGAGCTGGCCCCTGCAAGAAGTATCCGTAACTTAGTTACTCCATTCTTGTGGAAATAGCCTCTTGGATGACCATGTTCATCCACTAGTTCCATACTATCAAGTGAATATCCTTTATAAGCCCTTCTACTGTAGGGGGGATAGTGTCAGATATATGATATAGTTTCCCCACAGAAGGTGCTGGAAGCTATAGGCGTAACACTGATCGCTTTCAGGGTCCCCAAAGTTCGAACAGGTCCCACATCAACCCACCGTTTCCTCCAACATGTTCTCGGAGACGGAGTTCGGAGTTCGGAGTCAAGTTCCTCAAATTGATGCTTGGACCGTCCAAGAAGCAGGCTTAGTTTGACGCCCTTAGTCAGACAAATACGCCGCTCCTGAAGATCGAAATAAGCTGCAATGCGAACATGCGCCACTTGCGCCGCGTTCTTCGCCGCGGTGGTGAGCCAGGAGCTTGTTTGCGTTGGTGGTCTTCAGTTTCCTTAGCCTCCTGGTGATGCGAAGAGGGTCCGCAGCGACGCGGTGAGACTTCTTGTTTTTGTTTGTTATTTGTGTGTGTGTTTGGATCCTTGTTTATGGTGGATTTGTATTGTCTTCTTTTTTCTGTGTGTGGTTGTCTTTTGGACCCTTTGTTCTTTCGTGGACCTTTTTTAAAATGATTTGTGATATCTAATGTCCACTTTGCATGAATTGCACGAGGCTGAGGGGCTGAAGGCTGTTGGTTACTTGGTCCGTCAACCCGATACAAATCTCTGGACTTCTGTTGAGACAGTGAAGTTTAGACATGCTTAGACCCTCATAAATTCCTGGCCCTTGACCAGTACTGTGATGATTGTGTCTTGTGGGAGTGTCTAGCTTCAAATTCAGGTGTCAAAGATGTGATTGCATGTTTCTAAGAACCTGTGAACCTGTTCTTCTTCGTTGTTATTGGAGTCAATTGGCATCACCTAGTAGAGCGATGGCCTCCAACCTAAGAGCGGGCAGCCCCTTTTGCTTTGGGGGACCGCCTGGCGGACCGCTCACGTCCTACTTACGCGCGCGTCCGGAGATCGGGTCGGTATACGGCCCGGGTCGCCCCGTTCGTTGAAGGCATGACCTGCGGGGCCTTTTTGAGAGGGCACAGATTGTGCCAGTTGGTCGTCATGTTCTTTCTTTTGTTTCGTGCTTACATCAGCGTGTGGTTAGTATCTAGATAGTGTGGTTATTGCACATATATGTGTACATACAAGCATGCTATGTACAGTTACAACCTAGCTATATTAGGATATAAGTCTTATATGTTTTGTATGTGTGTTGTCAGACTTAGTAAGTGGAGTGCGTCACATGTATCCAGTTGTTATCTTCAGCATCTAGTTATGACACTTATAAGTGTGCAGGTGTCATTTACAAGTTCAACATCGTAAGTATACTAAGTGGAACATGTCAAACATATAAGTGGAACATGTCACACTTACAAGTGCAAAACATGAATACAAAACAATGCTTACATGTTTTAGAACAAGGCTTCAAACAGGTCTGCATCGACATGCATCACGTGAAAACATTGTCACACATGACTGCAAGCACTCTTCATATTTTACACTCGCAGGGCTCGTTCAGGTACTAGCACGATGGCATCGCTCTCCACTCGGGAGTAAGGAACCGATTCTCGAAGACACTGCACCTCCACCACGACCGGATTCTCTGCCACTTTGTACATGAATCCATGGACGTGCTCCCAGAGGCTGACCACAGAGATGCACCTGTCTTCGACCTGAAAAAAGTTCCAAGCTTCTCCCACCACAAGCCGGCCCTGGACCAACAAGACGCAACAGTCCTTGCGAGAGGAGCAACCTGCCTCGACCAACAAACTGTCCTCGACCAACAAACTGCTTGAGGAGCAACCTGACCTCCAACATGAGGTCATTGGCTTCTGCCACCCTCCGCACCATGTCCTTGTTGAATGACCTCTTCACATCCAACGCTTTCACCCCGTGGAAGTAGCCCTGCTTCAAAATGGCGTGTCGCCATCTCACAAGGGAGTTGGTGGCAATCTTGGACTCCTCAACCAGTGCCTTCCACAAAGGAGCACCCAGCTGAGTTGACTTGGTGTTTGTCATCACGAACTGCTGGGTTTCTTGCATCATGTTTGCCTTGGCGCCTCCTGAGTACCTCATGACAAAGGTCCACATGTCTGACAAGCTTTCAGCAAAAGCTGGCTTGCTTGCCAACGCCCGCCGCTTCACGTCTTCGAGATTCACCCTTTCCCCTTTTGATGTGCGCTCAACGCACATGGAGTGCAGCCGCTGCAACATTTGCATCTCGCTCTCCCCGCGGTTGAGGGAAGTATTTCCAACCTGTTGCAAGATCTCTGGTAATCGTGGAAACTGCAATGCGATCCACGAGGGAATGATCTCCCAGACCACCCCCTCCTGCACAGCCTGGAAGAAAGCCGTGTCGGCAAGACGAAGAGCGTCTTGGCTCAGCCTGCCGTTGACAGTGACCTGCTGGTTCTGGCTGTGTTCAACTGAGTCCACAAAGAGCCGGAGGACGAAGTTGGTGTGTGAGCCGCACACAGACAAATACCTCATCTGTGCCACATCGGCAACTCCTAGCTGGCCACCCGCAGACTCGATCAGCTTTCGGTTGAACTCCAACTCTTCGGGGCCTGTCACCTCAAAGGCCAAAGCACTGACCAAGCTCGGCACAAACCCTGTGTCGAGAATGTCTGCCAGCAAGGAATGTACCTCGCGCACCGCTACCCCAACTCCATCTCGATTGCGCGGATGCACCCCAACCATCTTTGGCGTCAGGCGAAGCTGGAGCAACACTTGCTCCTTCCTCAACAAGGTCAAGATGCCTTCTGCTGACTTGACCATGGAAGTTCCAGAAAGAGCCCTGTCAATCAGCACGTTGATGGTGGATGTCACTCCCTCTGGCAAGCTGCGCACGCCCTCCATCTTCTCCATCTGTCAGGATGAGATCTCGGTGAGGAAACGCGCGATCACTCAGAGCCAGCTATATAGCAGCATGAAGTTGACATGAAATGTGCACATGCATGATCATGCAACACAAGCAACGAGTGAACAAAATGAACATGAAACACAACTCATTCGGAAGAAACTCATGGGTACATGTCACTCCGCTGCGCAAGAATCTCCCAAGACTGCAAGACACTTCAAGGTAGCTCTGCACAAACACTGTATATAATGACTTGGCATGGCATGACATGACACTGCGTTGCATGACATGACACTGCATGGTATGACATGACATTGCATTGCATGAAAGCATTACATTGCATGTGAAAGACGCAATGAAACCGTCAATCCCGCTGCGAGCATATATAAGATTATAGTAACTACAACTGTGATACTTAATAAGTAGGACAGTAAGTATACATACTAAGTCCAGCAACCGAAGATAGACAAGTAGCACAAGTACAACATTAAGTCTGCTAACTACTTAGTAATCCTTGTAACTACATAGTAAGCACTACGCCCCATGTAAGTGTGCTTCCATTTTTTGCAGTTTCGTGGGCATGATTGCTATATATTGCTGAGAGTGGATGTTTTTCGTCCTGTGTGTCCAGAAGCGGAACTGATTTGGTACACTTGGCCGAGGCTTGGTCGCAGGTGTTCTTTGTTGTCTCCCCTTCGCTTGCATCTTCTCATGGACAACCTTTTGGCGCTGGTGCCCATTGAACTGGCGGACGGATTTGTATGCTCCTTGGATGCGACGCATCGCGGGAGTCCTCCGAGACGGAGCCCGTCTGGGGCGGGCGGGTGGTGGTGGTCACGGGCTCCGAGGTCGAAGAATCATTTTCGTTCCGCCCCGGAAGCAAGACTGGTACCAGTGGAATCCGGTGCCGAGACGACGACGAAGGTTTTGAGATAGCTAGCTGACTAGCTGACTAGCTTGGGCATTTTTGTTGGGTCTCCAAGCCCACTTGGACGGGGACCGAAACCAATGGATTTTTAATAGGGTGACCCGGAACCAATGGATTCTTGGTCGATTTTTCTTCTTCCAGGGCGTCGTTGACTGCGAGGTCTCCCTATTTTGCTACACACCCAACCCCAGACACTCCATGTGCGGTATATTTACCTACAGTGGGGTGGTTGAAAAAGGGGTCAATGTAGGCATTATATATGACCGACATGGGATGAAGAACTCATATATAACAAATAAACATACGATTCTGATTTAGTTTGGGCAATAGTTGTCTTTTGTTTCTATTCGAGCTTTAATCTAGGGTTCATGCTTTTTGTTAACTTGGTTGTTTTCATGAGTCCTTGGGGCTTGGGACCAGCCGCATGCGTTTCCGAACACCATGACTTCCACCCGGACGCGACCGCCCGTCTTGGCCGTGTCCGGGGACTCCGGGACGTGTCCGTGAAGGAGCCGGGGGACGTAGGACTCATGGAGGACTCATGGAGGACCAAAAGAGTCCTTTAGATTGATTGTTCGGAAGACGAAGATGTGCAACAAAACGGTCGACCTTCGGTTCGTCTCCTAGAAGGCTCGAGGCGGGTAAGTGCCTGCCTTGGTCCTCTTTGTGTTCGGTCAAATTCATGCAAAGGACCTGCCTCTCCCCTCAGCTTCAGCCCCAACTTCGGTGTGGCAGAAACCCTGCCACATGGCTCGATGTTGGTCTCTTCCCAGGTGAAAATGATCTACATCTCCTACTATTTGCAACACAGGACCTGCACTGGACCGAAGTGTCGCAGGGCGCCAAACCGCCGGTTCGCTTCGAAGGCCTCGGCGTGGCGTGCGCTTCGGCGGTCGAATCCGATCCACTTGCCCAAGAAGATTCCAATTGTGGAGACGAATTCATCTATAGGTTACGGACAACCACTTAGGACATCGTTGTTTTTCCAACAAAAATGAAGGTCACGTCACATTCATAGAACATGCCGAGGATCTGCAGCTCAATATTTGTTGTTTGCTTTTTTGTTCAACCGATTCGTTCCAAGTGGTTGTCCGTCACTATAGAGTTCTCGGCACAAAAAAGTGAGTGAACGATGGTCTTACAACATCAGTAGACCCCGAAAAAATTGGCAATAAACTCCTTGCCCTAGGCCTCCAAGTACCTTCTGAGGAGGTGTTTGGTGTGGGTTTGGAGGGTCCAAGCCGGAGTCCAAGTACCTTCTGAGGAGGTACTTGGAGGTGTACGGTTGTATAGCTTTAACTCCTGGTAGGTTTGGGGTAGGACTCTTCTTCTTCAATGCATTTCATTGCTTTCGCTAGGGACCCTTGGCCCCGAAGCGAATGCGGCTACGATGGATACGGCAGCCTTGTGCACCCCGATACAGCGAATGCGGCGACCCGGCGACTCATGCGACGCATTCAATACATGACATGTTTGTCGTCCCGTTGGACGACCATGCGGGGGAGACAAAAGCAGCGACAAAAGCGGCGAGATTGATGGTCCAAACAACATCAAATCCAATGGAACAATGACCGAGCGTGAAAAATCCCTGTGGCCAGCGAAGTTCGAAGCAGTCACCGCAGTCATACCCAGACACTCCATGTCTGTCATATATATGCCTAGGGTGTAGCCCATTACCAGTAACAGTCCGTAAAAGATTATCACCATTTTTGAGAAAGGCCTCAACTAACAATCATCATCCACTGTCACTGTTACTGGCAATAGGATAGACCCAATATTATATGCCTACATTGACCCCTCAAACCACCCCAATGTTGGAAAATGTGGGCATATATATATATACCATACATGGAGTGTCTGGGATAGAACAGTAGCATGTTCTTCCTCCGAAAAGGTTGGGACATTCCGCTTGTTTTCCAGGAATGTGAAGCAGCCTGCTGCAGATGCCAAGCACATGCCGGTCTCAGATTTGAAACCGAAAGGTGCCTTGGCAGTTTCTGGCCCCAAAATGTCGAACCCGGCCCTGGACCCGGACTTGGCAGCGTGTGATGTGCGAGGTGAGACTTTCTAAGAAGATGAGTGAGAATGAGTGAGAGAGAGAGAGAGACATATCGTTTCGAAGCAAGCAAAAACGTATTGGGTTGTTTTTTCTGGATCCAGTTGATATGGGGGGTCAAGACATGTCAAGACTCACCATAGGGGCGCCCGCAATCCAAAACGGCCGCGTGTCGGTGTTCGTCGGAGTTGCTCGGTCTCTGGGGATGCTGTGGGTCATGGCACTGGACCAGTGGGGCCATTTTGTCTCCCCAAATACAACAAAAACCGAGGAGAACCTATAGAGTTTGTTCATTTGGAGCCTATAGAGTTTGAACCTACAGTTGACATGACGAGTTCCAGGTCACAGTTTGGAGTTCCAGGTTCCATGACCCCAAAAAGCCAGTCGTTGTGACCTTTGAGCGGAGGGTGAAGCATGGAGCGGATGGAATTCCATAGACCCATGGGGTGAAGGCAATGAGCTCCAAGCATGACCTTGACCTGGGCTGACGCGTCGGAGCCGTGGGCTGTTGATGATGATCTGAAATGCACACCATCCCTTGCCCCCACTGGTTTTTCGAAGGTGGGGAGGGTGATGAGTGCTTGCACGCCCCAAAAATTGATGACCATGCAGAGGCTTGCGGCTTCTTTTTTAAGGTCCCCTGCTAGGGCCGTCAGCATCCAGAAAAAAGGAGAAGGGGCTGAGACTTGGAAGGGTTCTTGATGGTTCTTGGACTCATTCGTTTAGATCTTGGAATGGCGAGGATTTGGAGCGTTCTCTTTTGCTCAGTTCACCATCCCCTAGGGATCCAAATACCTTCTCAGAAGGTACGACTGGACCCTCCTGTTGCCTACATAAAAGTGGCTCCCTGCTCACCCTCCCAGAGGGTGGCAGTGGACCCATATCCCTTGACCGACATCAAAACATTGGGATTCCGAGCCTGAGCCCTGAGCCCAGGAGAGTTGAAGAAGTTTTGGGTGGACTTTGCATTAAATCTGCAGGTTCCACAGGGACCAGAAGAACAGCTGCCTGACAGGTTTAGGGAGGAGAGCATCTACCGGCCTAGTGGACACACAGGGGTGCATCTCTTGTGGGAGAGGAATGGAATAGACCTTAACTATAGACCTTTGGCATTCAGATGTTGCATTAGAATCATCAATATTTACCACATATTCCAAAGCAAGAGCACTATGCCTTCCTGAAAGAAACAAAGAGGGTCAATGTGTGGCCTTTGAGTTCCATGATAGTTTGTGTGAGGGTGTTCGTGAAATCTGATCACCACCTTGAATCCTTTATGCATACCCATATCATGCCCACCACGATGAAGATGGCCTTGGTCCCAAGCATGTCCAATTTTCATGATGATGTTTGTCGTCCAGGCGGTTCGTTTGCCTGGTTCGGCTTCTACATGGGACATACGTATTAGGGTGATGTGATCTTTAGTTTTCCTCATGGGTGAATCCCCTGGCATGGGCCAATACTTGCTGAACATATTAGTGCGGGTGGGTGAAACCAAGCAAACTCCAAGTGGCTTTGCTTCACCTGAGGTTCTTGGACGAGCTCCTGGGCAGAGTTGGATCGCTCGCCGCACCGGTCTTCCCGAAGCTCCGAGCTACGAAGCCTCCAGCGCTCGTGTTTTGGGGTCGAGCGCCGACCGCGTCGACCGTTCGCTTCAAAGCAAGCGCTTCTGTCCATGGGCTCTCTGAAACCTCGTTTGACGCATGAAGTCCATGGAATTGCTTCGAAGAAGATCACTGGCTTTCACCCTCTCCACCGTCAAACACCGGCGATCACCCCTCTTCCGGTCCGATCGTCGCGATGGCCGGATCGCTGCATGGTTCCCACGCATCCGCTCTCCGAGGTACTTAAACCCCACGTCGCGCGAGAACTACATCGAGCGACATCTCACGGTGCTGCCCATGACCGAGTATTCCTTCTATGCCGCTTGGAAGTAGAGCCACGGTTCGACCCCCCGGAAGTTCCGCCGTGGACACCGTGTGACCCAGATGCTGGGAGAGACGACTTGGATCGAAGGCGAAGGTCGCGGAGACGACGAGACAAGACAACAGCGAAATTCGCGGAGACGTTTTTTTCTGAAAGATCATGACTCTTCCCAGACACGACCTGTCTGGGACTGCCAGGACGGACTGCCGCCCCAGACAGACCCCGAAGCGTCGCTCCGTTCCACGACGCGGCGCGTACGGCGTGGGTCCCACGGTCGCTCCGGCGCCGAGGACTCCTTTGGTCCGGACGAAAACCCGGTGGACTTCGTGATGAAGCAGATGGCCGCGGTGTATCCGGAGGCGAGCGCTTGTTGGGCTTTGGAGCCGGCGGAAGGGCTGGGGGATGGCTGGGATGGGATGCTTCGGAAAGGAAGTTTCTGCGAAGAGAACTTGAAAAAGGCTGATAGTGACCCGCAAGGGATCTCTGAACTCAAGGAGGCAACACTTTGCGTTGCTTGGAACAAGATAATCCGTCGGGCGTTGGTGATGTTTTCCTAGTCTGGCGCCTTTAAGCGACCCCCACCCAATCGATCATCAAAAATGTTTTGACATTCAAATCCAGTTCTTGGATGCGTGGTTCTGGCTTCTGCTTAGAGTGATTTCTACTTTTGGGGTGAATCTGGAGACGATGTCTTGTTTTATTCTGGGTTATTACTTAAATTAAACATAACATATATAACATATATATTTTATATTTGTCCAAATCCATGGTCCATGTCCAAATCCAGCGCCATACATGAGTCCCATGACCTGTAACAGTTCCGTTTCTTCCTCATCGAACGGACGTGTGCGGTCTGGACCTCATCCGGATAGCTAGAGGGACTGGGTCTGTCCTAACTGACCTGTAACACGACCCGGTTTCACAAGCAAATCACTATTTTTGAACAATGCCTTTACTAACCATCATCCACTGGGCCCAGGTATTAGGATAGACCCAAGCTAGAGTCTTCGCTTGGAAGTTGGCAACTCGCCGCCGGTGCCACTGGTGTCGATGGGGAATGGGATTCACCGACGAGACCATTTCAGCTTGGTCACAGCTTGGTCACAGCTATATCATCTTTGTGGTGTCAACCATGCAAGTCAGAATGCTGACCTATGTATGTATTAAATTAATATAGCTACTCACCAAATGTTAAGTTCAAAACAACAGATTCTTATAGTATCATTAGTATCAACAACACTCAAACTCCGGCCCTCTCTACAAGCACTTTCCACTTTCCTTGGGCGGCTTCCGGTTCTTTCCACGTAATCCTTTACACATGTTCACACCTTACGCACCATTGCATCAAATTAACGCACCAGTGGCACCAGTCTTGATGAAATCCACGAAAACATATTTAAAAACACGCAACAAAATAGACTTGTTCGTTCACGCCCCACGTGTTTCCGGGGCGTTTTTTACACCGTTTGACCCACGTCCTTCGATGCTTCGAGGTCTATCAGGAGTGGCCGGACAAGCGGAGCGACGAGGCGCTGACGCGCTTTTGCCTCTACGGCATTGGCGCTCAACGTGTGGAGGTGGAGATGTGCAACGGACGCTGAGAGGAAAACGAAGGATGGAAAGGATCGGACGCCCCCCTCAGACGGATGGAACCCAGAAGGGTGGTGCTCGGTCGTGGTAGATCGGGAAAGATCGGAAAACGCTGAAAGAGGTTTGGTTCTGTTTCGTTCGGGATGCATCAGTAATCGGTGCGGCTCAGCCGAGAAGGTGCATCCGTAATCGGTGCTTATAGTAGGGTGGGGAAAAGGCCAAAGAACCACACACTCACATGTTCGATAGGTCACAAAGTAACTGAACAAATCGTGGTATACACTCATAAGCACCAAGTGTGGGGTGGTGGGGTAGCGACTTTGCCTATATACTGTATGCTTTGCAATAATATGCTTTGCCTGTTTGTGTTGGGTCTGAAAACGCGACATCAGGACGAGGCGACGCACGCCACGCCTCAGGAAAGAAGCACTACGTGGTGCGAATCTCGGCTCGGAGCCAGTTCGGAGCAGCGATGTGAGTCTCCTCCAAAGCTCTGGGCCCCTTCCTGGTGGAAGATGAATAGACTCTTCCTGGCGGCGAAGTGTGTATAGGGGAGTATACCTCTCAAGGGCTCCAAAAAAGAAAGAGACAGACAGATCTGGAGGAGTGAAGGGCTTCGGCGCAGTTCAGCACCGTCAAGTCCCTGAAATCATGGTACGTGGATGGCATGGCCCCCCTTGGAAAGACCATGTTCCTCCAGTTGCGACGTTGAAGTCTGCATTTCAGCCACCAGAAGTTGAGATCTCTATAGAGTCGGGTCCGACGGGTCCTGGTAGATGTTACCTCCTCACCCTAAACCCAACAAAAAGGGAAGATCAAGCAACACTCCGCTCAACACATGCTTTTACGATCTTCCAGCAGTCACACTGGTCGCTCGGGGTGCCGGTCACGAACGGAGGAAGGAAGGAAGGAGTGCAGGTTGCCCAGCTACATCCACCATCCACTGGATGGGACGAACCTCCAAACCACCCAGCTCAGCTCACGTGACTGACTCCTGGGATTGGAACCGCCTCTTCGGAAGCTCCGGCTCCGGAACCAGGAACCAACATGCTCAGTGGCCTCCCGGTCATGGACGCCTTCGAGCGCTACGGAGGCCGGTCCTTGGCGGAGTCCGCCTCCGGCCGACTGGGGGTCGGTGAGGTCAGGTCGTCCGGAAGAGACCCCACGGGAAGACGGTGGGTTTTGGTATGTTTTGGTGGTTTCTGGGGCGTTTTTGGGACTTCTCTTTTGGGTGGCGTGTTGTTGGAATGGTGTTTGAGGTCGTTTTGCTGGCGTTTAGCAGGCGGGTTGCGGCCAAGGTGTAGCGTTCTGTGGTTCTTAGCATGTGTACAGTCTTTTTTGCAGGCCTTTGCACTAACTGCCAGGAGTTTCATGATGGATGAATCTCCAAAGTGCTTAGAACCCCTAGGTTAACACAGCGCACAGCACAGGTACAAAGAAGATTTTCAGCGTTTTCTCCTGCAGATCTACAGGTCAAAGTGCGATGGGTAAAACAAACAGTCCGAAATGCCTGGTTCTTCGATGATCTTCCGTCCGGTGGTACGGGACATCTCCGAAGCAAAAGTGCTGAAGGGTTTGTTTTTGTTATATAACATTGAAGTTCTGATTTGAAGACCCTTTTCCCAAGTATCAGTGGTGGTTTAATTGCTCATGGGAGTTGGCATCACATCGGCTTTGAAAGACTTGATCCAAGTTAACATCAGTTTACACTGAACGGCTTTTCCAGTGACACGCGACCCATCAGGAGATGCCTATTTCGATGAGCAGTGGCGGCCGGTGAAGATCGTGGACGCTGGTTTGTCTCCGCCCAATGCGGCCTGGGACAGCCAGGCGCCCGTGGTGACCCAGCCCGGCGATGAAGGACGCGAACCGGTGCTTTCCCCCGCGGGGAACCGAAGGGAAGCGGAGGGAACCCGCAGTCCGAAGATGGTCCATGTAGGTATACATATCCCGTATCCCAGACACTCCAATTTGTATGGCATATATGGCATATATGAATATATGCCTATAATTCTGCCTCCATTAATAACTCACCAAACCACGCCAATGTATGATATTGTAGGCATATATGGCAGTCAGTCCCATGGAGTGTTTGGAACAAAAAATATATATTAATTATATTATATGTATGTGTGTGTGCATCTGTCACACAGACTGACCCTCAACCCGCCTCATTCTATATGTTTCTTCAGACAGGTCGAACTCCTTTCAATCATACACCTGATTATGACTTATATAAGTCATTATATACCTATAAACCTCCTAAAGCTCCAACAAAAACACTGCAGAGCGGATGTTTGACTGGAAGTTTACAGAATGAATCTCCCACTCAAACTCAGTGCACCACTCAAACTTTACAGTGGATTGAGAGTAGATGGCACTGGCACCCCAAGATGTCTTTGATGTTTTGGGATCCATGTTTTGAACCACCTAACTTGGGGTGCCAGTGCCATGAACACTCACTCTCAATCTGTAAATCACCCCAATCTCCAGCACCTCACCTTGGACCCGACTCCCAGATCCCTACCGCGTTTCGAACGCGAAGCCGGAGGATGGGAGCGTGCGAAGTTCCGCTTCCGCTCCTCGCTGTTCAGCTGCCTGGTGCCGTCTTGGAGAAGTTTTTGTATTTGTTGGCGGTGCTGGATCTTAAAGACACAATTCAACAAATTCACCATATCTTGACTGTACATGGTGTCTATTTCGTCCTTCACTTCGCCTTCGTTCTTTGGGTCGCCTGTAGCCTTCCTTCGCTAATCGCTTCAGACTGTCCAGCTACGTCTGATGTGGTGCACGGTCAACCTCCAACGCCGGACTTCAACCGGTCAACCTCTCCAGGCTTGGTGACCTTAGTCGACCACCTCTACGGCATCCATCTTCAGACGGTCCCGCGGTCGACTCCGTCGGGGCGGTGTGGCCGAGCGGAGTCGAGTGTCGGGGCGGGCGCACGCGATGTAGATGTTTTGTGTCAGTCGAAAGTGCGGACTCAGATCATCAGTCAGGCCCGGAGTGGCTAATGAGTGTGTGTTTGTCTTTTTATCCGGAGAAAGGACCCATATGAAACCCTCCACACTCAACATGGATTGCAACACTCAAAACACCTGGAGATGACAGGCCTGGAGATGACAGGTGAATGCCAAGCTCCCCAGCGATCCCGGACCGACCCTCCGGAATTTCGGTAAACGTCCGGAGCGGTCCGACTCGGTAAGCCTGTTCTTAGCTCATACCCTGGAACTGAGATGAACTGAGGAGATCCTACAAAGCGAACTGGAACTGACGTTACATGAAATACTGGAGTTGGTCATTGCAATGTTACAATATGAACGGAGGTCAGTTTGACCAGGTTTTACTGGATCAGACTGGACTTGTATCGACAGGCTTGGGAAACGACTGAAACATACTGAAAGCGTTTCCCAAGCAGATGCAACAGCCCCTGTCCGACACGTAGCAACTAACATGGCTGTTCGCCTGGGTCCAGCCATGTTCACGCACCAAAAAACATGGATCAAAGAAACGGCTGTAATCACCAACTACAAGCTTATGTTACATTTGGTGACCAGCTTTGGCCATATCCAGGTCTGGCTTGCAAGGGAGGTGGCTTCATCGCGCCTGTGCGGGGTTTGCTTTGGGGGAAGAATACTCACCCAACACTTGTGTGTTGACGTGTTCTTGGAGGTGGATTTCGCTTCAAAACGTGCGGGACATGTTAATTGGTTTGAACATGTTTGAAATAAGTCGTATTTGTTTGCCAACTCACTGCCATAGGGTACGTACTCTTATAGGATTCGAGTACTGCAAAACTCAACCTGAATCTTTCACCGCAGCTTGGCTTGGCTTGGAAAAAAGATCACTCCATCAACTCTCTATCCAAAAAGAGCGAAGTCTCAGACGTTATCAGACTCTTTTTTGCTCAAACATCTTCGAAGACCTCATGACGAAACACGACGATTTCCGGCGTTTTCGAAACGGCCGTTTCCACCATGGCTCCCCTCATCTCCCTTCCCCTTGGCTGCCCCAGCAAAACAGCAGCCACTGCCCGTGGTTGGCCGATTCTCGGTCGCGAGGCCAATCTCTTCGTGACCGCTTTGAGAGAACAGATGTCTCCAGAGCATCCGATCCGACGCTTCTTGACACCCTTCACCTACCAAACCATTGCGCCTCCACTGAAATGGTGGTTCATGGTGGTTCATGCTAGGGGTGCTTTTTGGTCGGTGGTTCATGGTGGTTCTGATCAAGGGCCCCTGGGCCAGTCCGAGTTGGAGGTGTCATGAGGTGTCGGTGTTGTTTCCTATTTCCGTGCCGGTCGACATGTGTTTCTTTCGATGAGGAGGTCAGAACCCAAAGTCATTCCAGTCATGAACCAACAATTTTGAGCCACACCAATTAAAGTGCACTTCTTCTCTGACGTGTGTGTTCCTTTTGTGGTTTAAAATGCCAGAATGGCCATCAGACGCAACACCCCAAGACCCCCAAGGGACCAACGGGGTGTACTAATTGCCGTGGCACCCACGGGCTGAGCTAGAGCTACTAGCGAATGGGCACCAACCTAGCAAAAGGAACGACGCTTCTCACCCCACCACCCCCCAAGGGGACCAACGGGGTAAAGTCGCCGTGGCACACACAGGGCTTTTAGAGCTGCAAGCGATGGCCTCCAACCTAGCTAGTAGCGTTGGCCTTCTTACCGCTAGTAGATAGGCAGGAGAGCTGCCGTTTCGGATTGGATGAACGATGACGGATGTGGGTGATGGAACGTCCGGATCAGAAGTCTCGGTCAGAGAATTCCATGTTTCATGAAGATCTCTCTCTCTCTCTCTCTACCAGCACCCTACAGGGCATCAATTGAGACCTGTTACGGCCCAACAACCCTCTAGAGTCTCTAGAGGAGACCTGTTGGAGGGTGCTGGTATAAGCATCATCATGTGCTGTTTGCGGTGTGTGGGCTTATTTCGGTCTATGGTTTTAAGTTTGAGTCTTTGGAACCACTGCTTACCAGCTATAGTGGTAACATGTGGTTTGCCTGGATGCCCTGGGATTGCCTTGGATTTTCTCTTTGCCAAACGACTTCAGGATGGATCAGGGTTCATCGGGTTCATCGACCGATGTGTCACTGCCTTCCTCCCCGGAAGACCGATCCACTGGTCCGTTCGGGAGGTGTAAACAGCGTCACCGATCGCCGTTACCGTATCCAATCACCGGTATACCGAAGGAGGGTGGCAGTGCACTCGATGATTTGGGGATGGCACGGAAAACTCGACCTAGATCTTAACGCACTTGACCTAGACCTTTGTGGATCCTGTCCTTCTGGTCCTCCTATTCCTTCACGGTGCCTTTCCTTTTTTAACCTCCCACTTCCCAGAAACAGGTGGACAGTTCAGCTGTCGCGCCGAATTAAGAGCGTTTCCGCAACGTGTTGCCACACGTTTTTGCAAGGGGATGGGGAGGTATGACGAACAGGTTATACCGGAATCTTGGGGTGTCAATCTTTCTCCCACAGGTTAGGGGCTCCAATCAAGTTTGGATTCTGCCATTTCTCACGATTTCGACCCGGTCCGGGACCGACGATTCCGCCCGAACGCCCCCCTTTCAGCCCACTCGTCGGCCGGTCCACGTCCCACGAACCGGCCACCGCCGACCCGCGAGGCGGTGAACGACAACGCGGCGCACAACCTCACGGCACCACGCGCCGTCCTCGTGGACGGAGGGGTGGGTTTCTTTCGGGCGCTGGGTAGCGCAGGTGGATTTGTGGTATCTCTGTTCATTTTTCCGGAAAAACAGGGGTCTATGATTTGATGTTCCCTAGGTGGGTGAATTCCCCAGTGACAGAAGACATGTGTTTTTACATGTTTTGCTCCGGATATCGGGTGTTTCTTGTGGTATTTTGTTGTTCCCAAACTGAGTGAATCCCCTCTGGCATGAGGAGGTGCTTTGTTTATGCTTGCCCCGGCTACGGGACCACGTCTCACAATTTGTCCGATTTGAGATGCACTTTAAGGACATTGATTATGGGGTTCTTGACGTTACTGTCACCTTCCACAGCGAGGGTCAACTGGTTCACCTGTACCTGTTGCACTATTTCGCGCTCACAGAACGCCATGACAAGAACAGCTGTCTATACGATGGTTGGCAGGACATGTTTGACTTCCCCCCTGCGCTGCAAAAATTGGTCGTGACCCATCAGGGGCGCACAATCCAACTTTTCCAACAACAATGCATAGCCATTAATGACAATGGTATCAGTGTCTATGGCCCGAACAAGGCACTTCGGAGAAGGCTCGTTTTGGGGCTACGTTGCCGTTTTGTTGTTCATTCTTCTCAATTTGTCTTGGCTGTGCCAGGTCTATGTCTCTCAAGATGTGATTGTGACATCCAGTCAGTTGATCATTTCTTACACGTGTTGTACTTCATTCATGTTTATTCTGCATCTTTTGGCTATAAACCCTCACTCTTCCCAGAAACATGCCTCCACCTTTAACAAACTCTGCCACTCTGCCCTCTTCCTCCCTGCCGTCCCTGCCGTCCGCTACCTGTTTGTTCTCCGCCGTCTTCCGCCCGTTGGCTTCTCCTCGACCTCCCTCGAGGCTCGATGGGTCCGCGCTGCTTCGCCTTCACCGAGCGCGGCTTGGCGCTGGCCTTCGCCGCAGCGCCCAACCTGCTGGTGAACGGCCAGGCCTGTGGTGCGGCGGTGGTCGTGCACCACGGTCGTGCGCTGGTCGTGAACTCTTGGGGTGAAGGACCAGCGTGGTCGTGGGGTTTCATGCGCCGTGAGAGGTCTATTTTGTGTTGGAAGGGAAGGGATAGACATGGAGAGATTTTGTCAGAATTAGAATCTTCTGAACTGATTCAATGTTGAACTTCTCTTGGAGCGTGAACTTCTCTTTCCGCACTGGCTTTCCGAAGCATGCCGAAGAAAAACTTGTTCAGTCCCCATGGGGAGTACCAGGTTGGAACGTGGGGGGGAGACAGGTCAGACAGGTCAATGTATCACAGACACGACTTATGGGACTGCCATAGGACTGCCGCCCCATTGACCCCCAAAACCACCCCAATGTAAGCATACATGGAGTGTCTTCTGGGTATTGAATCATGCATTGCAGTTTGGATTGGACGGGCACCACCAACGGAATACCCACACTGTCGCGCTACGCACCTGTCGGGTGCTCCATGGGTGACTGGAAGGCAGAAATCCCTTGGTTTCAAGGGTGACGACCTTCCGGGTGACGCCTTCCATATGGGCAATCGAACGACCTTCCCGTGCACCAAAACGAGTCAGTTGGAGACCTTCAAGAACGACCCACTTCTTGTAGGGTCTCAACCGGACATGTTAGCCATCAAAACGACCATGAAAGGTGATGAGTAGTGCCCTGATTAGTGCCCTGACTATGTCTTGCGGACGGCACGGACAGTCCGCTCGTTCGACAGGCGGTGCCTGAAAAGGAGGGCGGCCCGTTCTTGAATCTTGGACCATGAATAAAATAAACTACATTGATTCATTCCCTACAAGTCAAAGACCTCATTTCACTTGAGTTGGTCATACAAAAACAATATTTAAGGATGCTAAAGACCAGGTTTTACTGGGTCTTTGGACTTGCAGGGATTACAATATGTAATTGCGAGGATCGGAGTGTTAACCTGTTTGATGCGTATGCGTAGTTTGATGAGGCGGGCGTTTTCTTCGTTTGCTGGATTTTCTGGAGCCACCTTTACACTCCGAAAGAACAGAACATGAAGCCAGTCCAGTCCACCTTCCGTGAAGAGGGTGTCTGTTCTTTGGGGAAAGTAGAAATTGATCCTTCTGCATGCTTTAGGCTTCCAACGCTGTAAAGACCCAGGTTCAGTTCAAAGGGTTCAGTTGAAACAGAATCATGTAGCTTGCTGTTCTGCAATGTTCTGCATATTGATTTCATATGGTTGTTGAGTTGTTGAATGCCAGACTCCACAAAAGAACAAGTCTGCGAACTCTTGGGTGGCCACATCTTGTTTGTCCAAAACACAACGACCTGTACACAGTTATTTGTCTCCTGAAAGTGGGAACTGGTCAAAGACGTCTTGGACTCGGCCAAAACAAGACCGTCCATTCAGGCTGTGGGAACCAGGTGTACCCTTCCCCCTTCACACCTTCACGTCCGGTGTCGAGTCCTATTGTCATTCAGAAGGCCCCGTGTTTGGGGGGATTTCCCAGGATTCCGGTCTTCTCCGGGCGAAGTGTTTATTTTTGGACGTGCATAATCCCTAGGAATCATCCCTAGAAGTGCATCATCCCTAGGAATCTCAAGGACTACGTCGCCTATTTGCTTCTCGGCGTCCAACGCGTGGAGTTCACGGGCGTGGTCGGACGTACGTACGTCGCGTGGGGAACTCGTGGACCACCGACGGCGCCGTCACGGGGAGTGCCAAGCTCTCCGGAGCGGTTTTGGACGACCGGTGACCGGTGCCTTTCTTTCAGTGCCTTATGGATCCAGTCGTACCCTCGTTTCGAAGGTGGGACTGGGGTGGGTGCCAGGAGGGTCCAGTCGTACCTTTTGAGGAGGTACGACTGGATCCCTGCTACTAGGGGTGGCAGACGGTGAGATCGGTCGACCATCGTGAACGGTTCGCGATGCCCGAAAGGCTCCGTTCGTTCGTCGCGTCCTTTAACGCTCCTATAGTATAGGATCGGCCAGGAGCCCGCGTCCAGTGATACTTAAGAGGTTTGAGGAGTATCAAGACCATGCTGAGGAGTCTCGGTCAACTCGATGTTCGAGGAAACTCTTGTCTTGCGGTGCAGGATGAGGATCCTGAACAGACCTTCAAGCCTCAAGATGAACCCCTCCCTGTTGATGGATACTTTGGATGAAACTAGACAACTAGAAACAGGTGATTCATATAGATGAAGATACCACATATATTTATTTTTATAGTATAGAGAGAGAGAGAGCTTGGGTCCGTCCCATAACTTGTAACAGTCGGTAAAAAAATAATCTCACTATATTATTTGTTTCCTATTTTAGAGATCATCCACGGATGCTGGTAATAGGATGTAATAGGATATACTAATATACCCAGCATATTACCCAATTGGTATGCAACAATTTGAAGTTAAACGTCTTAAAGTCCAACCCATTAGCGATGGCCTCCAATCCAAAACTCTTTGAGATAGACCATCAACTTTGAACGTTTGACTGCTCCAACTGCGACCCTCAACCAGGCGGAACGCTGGGTTCCGGCGGGTTCTGGACCGGCGGAACGCCCTGGACTCCGCTCCTTCGCTGTGAGGAAGGGAAAGGGCATCGACACGGAGTATTGGAGGCAAGCGATGGAGCTCCATGGAATCTTTGAGACCTTCCTGGACGAGTACTTGGCATGTCACTTGGAGCGAAGTGTGTGGAAACACCGTCCGCACCCCATGGGCCCTATGGGCCCCATGCCGCCGCCATTTGAGGGGTGTGGTGCTTGGTGAATTGATTTGGGCATGGTGGTGTGGTGCTGGGTGTGGTGTTCTGTTTCGGCTGAGAGAGAATCGACAAATGGTGGAACCAGCAATACACGGTCACTAGCTTGGCCAGATCATCTTGCGATCCCTTGAGCTATGACGAGTCACGTATGAATACGTGTGGGGTAGGACGTCCTACCCTCTGACGAACACATCACATGGAAGTGGAAAGCTGGGGCCGAAGACTACTGTCCTCTAGGAAACAGGCGGTGTTCCACTTCCATGATAGTGAGTCAGAGTGTATCAGGTCTACGACCCAAACCTTTCAAACCGCTGCATGGTATGGGTCCGAGTTGCCTGGGGCCTGCGGCGGTTGGACTGTCAAGGTCGAGTCCAATGCCCAGACCGTGCGACCGTGGGTGTTTGGTGTTCACAAACGGGCGATGATGTACTGACTCGAAATCAGACCCGAAAAGGTGTGTGTGTGTGTGTGTGCATCTTAGATCTCTTGAAAAAGGTGAAGAACTCACCTTTTTGGGAACCTGCGAAGACGACGGTGTATGTTGGTATGGTTTTTTTGGGGGGGAACCTCCCTGGCCCGCTTTGGATCTCTGTGTTTTGGATCAGTTCTTCAGGCTTCCTGGCCCCATGGATTTCGTGTGTTTGTACAGGTTGAACTGGGGTCTCTCCCTATTCTAATACGGTCCTCCACTTCCTCGTACGGTCGAGGCTACTACCCCAACAAAGAGGACGTGGCGGTTTCACGCGGTTTCTTTTGTGGAGAGGTCTGGGATCGGAATGGGGCAAATAAAGTGCTTAGAAGGGTTTGGTAAAGTTCTTTGCGGGAGAGATGTGTGGTTTTTGCCAGAATTTGGAATCCAACACTTGTCTTACCAACCAAAAAAATGATCTAAATGAGATGCTTTATGAATCAAACATGAATGCACCTCATTTTGAGGATGGATTACTTCAACCACTCGATACGGCAACAAAAAGGATCCTGCGACAGCATCGAAAGATCCCTCACTTGCACGAGATCAATACCATGTCGAGACAGTCGTGTTTGGGACTGCCATATAATATATATATATATATATTTGCGGACCCTTGCCCTATATGGGCGTCAGCTCGATCTGGTTTTCTAGTGTCCAAATCCTTAATTAGTACTGTAGTGGCTGTGCTAGGGAATTCCCACTAAAGCAATGGTTGGAATCCTGGGGCTTCAAGCACGTCCAAACCACACCAATGTAAACGTACATATTATCATATTCCAGTCCCATTGGGTTCTGGGGAGTATGAGCCCCGCCTCCTCATAAAGGAACGTCATTGTCTTTTCAAGACCATGCCAACCATTGAAAACCACTTCCAAAGTGATTCAGTGATGTCTTCAGAGTGTACTCCTCCCTCGACCGGTCCTTTGTTTTCACCAAAAGTCACCTCCGGCCCAAATCCTCGGAGCCGGGAGGATCTCTTGACGGACACCGAGCTCATGAAGTTTGCGAATCAATTCTTCATGAAGCTGGAAGGCTCGGGTTGCTGGAGGGTTCCTGGAGGGGATTAGCTTCCTTTGCTGGAGGCTCTGAGCATGAGGGTTGCTGGAGGGGAGACATGCTTCCTTTGCTGGAAGTGCTACACCGCACGAAAAATCATGCGGTTCGACTCGAAGGACAACTTCACTCGGATTCTGGTGGGGGGCCCATTGAAGGTCTGGGGTTCCAGTCGGCAGATGGTCACCAGATTTGGACCGACGAGTCTGGGACTGCCAGTCCGGACTGCCGAGAAATGGCCAGGGGTGGTGCCAGGGGGGTCAATGTAGGCATATATGGCAGTCCCATGGAGTGTCTGGGTTTTGGAGTAGTGAAGAATTAATACAATTTCAAGTAAAGACCATAGATTCCTGCACAGGTCCTGAAACAACCAGGTTTTGCCATCCATCCTGAAGGATATAATCTTTCTACCTATCTGCCAGTTCAAGATCCTCTCAACTCCCTCATCCAACGGCACAGGGTGTCCTGACGCAGTCTTCGGACCATGCTCGGACCATGCCCGCGCATGACGCGAGTTTTGGGACCCAGCTGGATGACTGACGAACATCGCAGCTCGGGCCGACACCTGGCCCGTGCCACACCGAGAAAACCACCACCTTCGACCTCCAGTCTACCGCCGTGTGTCTGCGGGCTGAGCTCTCCGTTCGCACACACACCCATGAGAGGGAGCTGAACACAGCCCGGCCTGCCGGTTTCAGGGAGTGCATCCCCTGTGGGTAGAGGATTTCATGGTCTTTTTTTGCCATGCCATCCTCGTAACCATGAGGACCAACTTGAGGGAAATACAGTACAGTCATAATTCACATAGAGGGGACAGTGCAAACGCGATCCGGCTGTTTTTCTGTTTGGTCTCGCGTGGATTCATATTCCCGTTTGCTGGAGACAGATGGTCAATGGCGAGTCGTCAGTCGCCATTGTTTGTTGACTGGGAGGTTCATGTGGCTTTGTGTATTTGTTTAGACTCTGGGACATCAATTCGTCTAGATTCAGATCATCTTTTTTTTCACCCATCTACTATTACACATCTCAGGGTTGGTAACGATGCTGAAGTTCTCACAGTAAAAAGACATATCTAAGACGGTTGCGGTATCTTAATTGTCTAAGCCATATATATATATATGTGTGTTCAATTTTGTCACATGTCCCCCTCTTCTTTTAAGACGAAAAGCCCCGTCCCGTGTCGTGTTGTCCTTATCCCCCTCTCCTTGACTGGCCCAGGCCCCACGTGTCGCCCGCACTCCGCCTTCGTCCGGTTACGCCCGCCAGGTGTGACGCCGGAGAGTTTGAGTCACAAGGCGGTGCCCTTCACGAGCGACGCAAAGGCGTGCTTGCGCCGGCGGTTCGGGTTCGGCGGGGCGTTGGTGGTCCAAAGTCGTGTTCTGAAACTAGTCTTCAGAAACACTTTCGTTGTATTCAGAAACTTTTTTCGTGGTATTCTAAAACTATTTCGTTGTGTTCTTTTAACATTTGTGCGGGTGGAGTGGGGGGATGGGGGGGAATCTATATATATATATTATATACATAATTGCGTGAAAAGTTGATGATCTCCGTGAATAGTGTTGCTAGCTGTTGCTCTTCGTTTTGTTTTTTCTTTTTTTTCCGAACATTAGTTTCCGAGTACAACCGTCCCAGTTTCCGAATACAACAGCTTAGTTTCCGAATACAACCGGGCAGTTTCCGAAAAAACTGTTTAGTTTCGAAATACAACCGTGAGTGGGGCGTTGGAAAACTTATCAGCCAAGCAAAGAGCTAAAGATAGTTACTTCTATCGGCAGCTATCGGCGACACTCTATTGGGCAAATGGAATGGACGTTGATCCTTGGTTGGAACCTGAAGTTAGAGCCGGTTTGATCCCTATAGGCCATCCATGGGACTAGAAACAGTTTCCTACATGGACACATCATTGAAACATCTGAAGAAATAAGGTATATTGCAAATCATCCGGAGACGACCGCGGTCCGAAGAAACATGGATCGGGGCTGGGGAGGCCCAAGGAGCATCGGAAGATGTTCAGCATCAGCTGGACGGCTGAACATGTTTGGCGACCGTGCCAGACCACAGTATGTGCATTGATTAGCGGATTGATGGGTTGTTTCAAGTATGTTTAATTGTTTGTTGGCTGAGGTACATGCATAGACGTGCTGCAAGTGTTCGCCCATTCCATTTGCCCTCCCAATAGAATGTCGCCGATAGGAGCTTCAGGAGCTTCAGGGTGTCCAAGGCCTGTTGAGGTTGCTTGGATAAGGATATTTAGTGTTTTCGTTGATATTTAAACATCTTCAAACCACGTACAGTTGAACCTCTTAGATAGATGCCCATGCTTACTTGCTTGGATGAGGTGATCCAGATAAACCCAAATATGTGCATCGTTTTTCTGATCTTGCCACATACGACTTACCAATTGACCGTGCGCTGTTTGATGTGCACCCATGCGTCCCACGTTCTCTCTCTCTCTCTCTCTAAATGTGGTTCATCCACCAAATCTACACCGCCACCGACTGACGAAGATGCCCTGAGTGGCCAGGGCAAAGTGAAAGGAGAAGATGCCCACGCCTTCTATGTGAAGCTTCCTTGCAGAGTAAAATGCATGTTTGGCTTTTGTGTCAGAGAGTCGGGGAAGAAGAAGGTCAACAGCTTGTGATACTGGTTCTGTGCTCACAGACGTGTGCTCACAGCTCGACGCAGTTGGTGTAGGTGTGACATGCGAACCTCACCCTTTGGGTCCTCTCCCATTAGCTGTAAAAGTCGGTAGAGAAGAACATCACTATTTGAGAGAAAGGCCATAAAAAATACAAAACAGCACCATCAACTGTGTATATATATATAATACCCTACAAGTCCAAAGACCCAGTAAAACCTGGTCTTTTACCTCCCTGAGTAGTGTTTTTGTATGACCAACTCCAGTCAAATGAGGTCATTGACCTCTATAGGGTATATGTATTGGGTCTGTCCTAACTGACCTGTAACAGTCAGGTTTCACAAGCAAAACATCATGTTTGAACTGTCGGCCTGCAACCTAACCATCATCATCCACTGTTACAGGTAATTATTAGGATAGACCCAACATATATAATCCACCATGACTGGACTCATGAGGCTCATATGGTAACTCCCCCGGCGGCATGGGGAAGATGAGTCATGACGGTGTTCTTTTCCGAACAAAACGGCGCCGCAAATCCCAGGAAGTGGATTGCTACGGTGATGTGGACGGTGACGGCGGGCCATGAGCAAGAGGGTGCTGTGGAGGTCTATGCGCAGGTCGCGCGAGGGACTCGGGTGGTCGGATGGGACTTGGGGTGGGACTTGGGCATGTGATGAGATGGCAAAAACCGGAAAAAGTATCATAAGTTGTTGTTTTTCGTTGACACGTGGTGCAACTCCCGACAACAAATAAGCATGACAACAAATACACGACAACAAATAGTACATGACAATAAATACGGAAAAGAAAAAAAAAACATGACAACGCAATCGATCCACAAACGGTGTTGACAAGAACGACTATAGTGTCATGAGCAGAAGCAGCTGCTTCTTGGTCAGCCTTCCAGATTGCAAAAGCGGCTCATGATGGAATTCTTCAAGAAATGCTCCCTCACTGAAGGTCCTGATGCCACTCCTACAATTAATTAGTCCGAAACCTGTCGAAAATTGCTCGGAGGCGAGAATTGCAGAAGAAGCTCGCCAGACTCGGCTTGGGACCGTTTGCGAACCGCAAAGCCTCGATAAGTATCGGCACAGCTGCAATGAAAGGCGCCGAGAAAAAGAATGTTTGGCAGCGAGGCCATCCGGAAGCTGGCCCTGACAACATTGCAACAACTCCAAAATCACAAACACTTGGGCACAGCAAATCAAGGACCTTTGCGCTTGTGTGCAGATCAGCATCAGGCCGAAGACCGAACATCAGGGCCTGGGGAGCTCAGCGCAAGCCCTTGACGAAGCCCACACTGGGCTGCTGGCTGCTCGTCCGCGGGCTTGAACTCTTCAGGTCCGAAGAAGCCAACCATCAAGGCGCTCTTGGAGTTCATTTGACTTTGCCTTGATGTGCAAGCTTCATTGCCCGCAACTTCTGGTTTCGGTTTCTTCCATGCACCACCTTTTTACAAGCTTCTGGACCGTGCTTTTGCGTCCCATTCGTGTTTGAGCATCTGGACCTTTGCCGATGCAGACCATCACGAACTCTGTCGAGAGATCGACAGATGTCTGTCGGCTGTTTTTGGCCAGAAGTTGCTTTACAGTGGTCTCAGAGTAGATGGCACAGACCCCAAGATGTCCTTTAGATGGGGGTCCATATAAACTAGTCTTGGGGTCTGTGCCATCTACTCTCAATCCACTTTCTCTGAAGTGCGTCCAAAGCACCACTACTTGTGCCACCTCTTCGACCAGACTGAGTTCGACAACCCGCTAGCGCAGTAGGACAAAACTTGTGTTCCCCAATGGAAACGCGACGCCAGGAGGGGGTCCCGGCATAGTCCTTGCAAAAACTAGCTTGTCTTCCCGCCTGTCTGCTGTGATCGGCGTTTTGTCTGCCGCTGCTGCCTTGCCTTCTCCCCATCCAAACGCGACATCGCCATCCGATTCTAGCTAATGTCAACACAAGATCAATCAGCCCCCACTTCAAGGTCAACCAGGTTTGAGATTGGAGGTATTGGTGACCACCATCCCCCTAATAAAGGTGATGCCTTGATGATGGATGATGGTTGATAGGATTCTGTGTGAAAACTGAGGCCTGTGTGAACACTGGGGCCCTTTGTGGGCGTGAACATGTTAAGATGTTGATAGAGTTTTTTAACAAGGGAAAACGAAGGGATTTTGCTAGAGATAAGATAATCTAGTCATTGTGGAACAAAGCTTGCTGGGGAGAACGTTCGCAGCTTAGATTGCAGCTTTAAACAATCCTAATTGTCTATTTTCTGGGGGCAGCTGGGCTTGATAATTTCGGGGAGGTTACTTAATCCCGTGTCAACATTACATTCGCAAAAACTTTCTTTGCCCTTTCAATAGCGTTGGTGTAGGCGGCAGTTTTTGCTGCTGTGTTTGTCACACAGTAACACAGTAAAGAAAGCTCAAGCACTTGTTGAAACCACCAACCCACCTCTTGCACTGCAATGGTCCTTTTGCTTGGTGGACAAGCTGCAATGCTTCATGTTCAGCTGCTGCCTCGAAGATTCCATGAACATGTTTTCAGGCTTCCTGAGTAGTCACGCTCTGTCCGCTTTCAAATCTGGTTCTGGTTAATGGGGCTAGTAGCTGAGGGCCTTGTCAGAGTTTTTGGCGAGCTGGGATTATGGTCATGTTTTTGTGAACAACACATGCCTGTGCTTCATAAATGCATTTTTCACAACAAAAACCATGCTTTTTGTTGTTTTTTTTTGTGTGTATAAATACATACATGTTTTTCTGCAACTCGGGTTCTCCAATTCTTTTTGCGGAAAACATGTAGCTATATACTACCTCTATCGCGGCCTACCCTCAAAACAAGGTGACTGCGTTGTTTGAAACTGTTTTTTTGGGGCCACAGTGACTCACGAATCACGTTGGTGAAATGATCGTACCAATTCAGGTCGGACAATGGGGGGTTCCCGTGTTCCAATACCCACACACTTTGTGCGTCCAGCATTCCAAAGCATTCCAAAGCTAAGCACAGCGGTTGGGGTGGGCTTGGGGTCTACCGAACCGGGCGGCATGTGGGAACTCCTAGGGCGGGCATCGCATCGTCTAAGACGACGGTCCGAACACCCTCCCCACCCGGTCCTCGAGCTCCGAGCGGACCGGACCGGACCGATGGCTTGGTTCGGAAGAGGACGTCTCCTGGACGGCCTTCAAGTGGCTCCACGGGCAGCAGATGCTCGGAGACCAGCGGTCCGTCAAAACACCTGCGGTCCGCAGACGAAGAAGGGTGAGAAAGCGCACGCGACTCGAGTATAGGTGAAGGAAAAGGAGTGGGGGGCGAGGAATTCGTGTAGAAAGGAGTTCGATGGTGTCCAAAAGACTTTTCCTTGGAGCTGGAAGCGTGACAAAGTGGAATAGCGATTCGGGTCAAGTTTCCTCGTATCTCGCCTCATCGCCCACAGAGCCCTACTTACCCTCCAAAGCAGCTAGCAAAGAGCTTCAATTCTTTCTGGACTAAGTGACATTAAGTGACCTTGTTCGATCTCAAGTTAGGTGACTTTGGAGCTCCACCAGGACCCGAGAGGTCGGTCGAGTGCGACGCGCGGCGAGGATCGGCACCAAGCAGACGGCCACCTCTCAAGCGCTCCTGATGTCCTTCACCTCTACGCCCATGCCAAAGCAGCTCGGAGTTCTTGAACTGGACAACACCCCAGAGTCAACGGGGTTGACGACGAGGTGGCAAGTCGGGGGTATAGAAATACCGGGGCAGGAGGAGGAGGAGCGCAAGCCTGTGATCCCAATGTGTTCGACATGTTTTGCGATAGCGCACAACACGGTTTGCCCCATCCGGCCGTTTGGTTCTCAGCGCGACAGTGACCGGTCAGGCAAGAGGGGTGTTTGTTTATAACATGTCACGAAAGCTAGCGAAGCTAGCTGGAGTTACTCTT